TCTTTCTTCCCGGAGGGCTCACTAGATAGGTGTGTTCTATGTGGAAAACCCTTTGGGTATACTTGTATTTGAGCACTTTTCTCTACATGTTACTTTAAATTTTCAGAAAGGAATGGTTTAAAAATCAGTTTAGCTGGGCATGGTGACACATACCTTTAAACCTAACACGCAGGAGACAGAGGAGCTGGGCTAGGATTGGGCTTTGCCTCGATTACTTCTCTACTGCTGTGACAGGACATCATGATCAAGGCAACTTGCAGACTAAAGGATTTATCGAAGGCTTACAGCTTCTGAGACTTAGGATCCATGACCACCATAGAGGGACCATGGCTGCAGGCAGGCATGGCACTTGAGCAGTAGCTGAGAGCTCACATTTTCATCCACACACTCGAAACAGAGCAAATTGGGAACGGCTTTGGCTTTTGAAATCTCCAAGCCCATGCCCAGTGACACACCTTCTCCAACAAGGCCACACCTCCTAATCCTTCCCAAACAGTTCCACCAGCTGTAGACTAAGCATTCAAATACGTGAGCCTGCAGGGCCATAACTTACTCAGACCCACACAGGATTCTGGCCTGTCTGTGGAAGAGTTTGTTCCTATCTGGAAGAAGTGTGACCATATTGGCTAAAGAGAAGCCATTCTGTTGAGTCAAAGCTGCTTGGTGCTTTGAAATAGTTCTAATAGGAGGAAGATGGAAACCTCCCCACCGCAGAGGTGGGTAGCTTCCTTTTCGGTTCTTTCCATCTCTTGAATGTGTCTGAAGGCTGACTAGTGAAGTCACTGCATCTTTACATAATTGTGGTCTATTTACCAGTGCTATGTCGATGAGGAGTCACCTCCAGATCTGCCCTCGGCCAATGGGATGGGCCTGCGGACAAATTGAAATGTGTTACACCAGAGGGAGCCTTAGGAATTGCTTAGATGTAGCAGTCTGGCCAATCAGGTAACCTGAGTAAATGTTTCCCATTGACCGTCAGTGTAAAAGTGGAAAATGTGATTAAAGCCACAAATCAAAGAAGAATCTCCATGTGTCCATGGCAGAGACAGGATGGCTGTTCATGAGTTAAGCTGGGCTTTCCAGCCAGCCCAGTGCACGGTGCTAGATAGAACCATTGGTGGCCCGCAGAGATTTGCCATAGGAAGCACTGTGTCGACGGATCTGCCCTCTGAGAGCTCATCTATCTGTGGGGTCTTGTTAAAGGATGGTGTTGATACAGACACATCCCCCCCCCACACACAACTTGCCTTTGAGATTCAGTCAAATCAACAGGGACCTGCTAGGGAGGGTTAGCTCCCCAAACAAGTGTCCAATCAGAAATGTTCTTTGAGATCTGGTGGATCTAGTCTAGCTAGTACAAGTAGTCACCATTTAAGGTCTTGTATTCATCCCTGGAACCTGTTAGGGAGAAAGAGACCCTCTGAATAACAGGATGGGGAATGGCTACTCAAGTCTGCCCAAATCACACAGAACTCCTAGAAACTTAGTTATTGTTCAGAGAGAAACTTGTGAAACCTTCTTAAATTTAGTAATTGTTCCCTGAATTCCAAATGGCACCCTCCTTTTCTCTTTTTTAATGCGAATTTTGTGAATAAGGCTAACCACCTTGGCCTTAGTCAACTAATCTCCTAATATTTTGAGCCAGACCTAGACATAGTGGACCATGTCCATCATGTTCTCCATCCAGTGTCCCCTAGTGCTATGGCAGAGACAGAATATTGGATCGTGTGGATAATTGGTCTGGCCCTGGGTGTCATATCTCACACAGAGTTATAGTGACAGGATGACATGTTGAATGGAGAGTCGTAAATATCGGGACTGCCCGGAGAACGGATTCTTAATGAAAATGCTTGCTGGGATGGACGCGCTGGAACATTCTGCCTGCAGCTCTGCAGCTTCAACTCTGCTCATGTCTGAGCCAATGAAGGTATCTCATTGGCTGTGTTTTACTGTGTTTATTTTTTTCTTACCTTTCCACTTAAAACCAATTATACTGTGGCTACTTAGCCAGGGCCCTGTGGCGTCCTGTGAGGCCTCCTGAGTCCCTGAGAAGACGACGGACTGTCCTGCCTCTGCTGTGCTTTGGCTGGATTCAGGGTGTTCCTTCCTCTTCCTCTGACTTACTCTCTTCTCAATGACAGATTCTCACCTGCTCTCTGGGGTGCAGTTCATGGATCATTTTGTCTCAGGAAAGCCGTCTCAGCTTCTCTCCTAACAGGCTTGCTTCCCTCTTGTTTGTGTGTGCCGTTTCCTGTGGTCCTTCCCCTACTGAACTGAGTGCTGGCTCCTAGATGATGGCCTTGGTCCCCGGAGCCTGTGTATCTGGGGACTCTAGGGCCTTGCGAGTTCTGAGTGACTGGAGGAGGAGGGTATTTTCACAATGGGTTTGCTGTTTATAGACCTGCGTTCATGCTGATCTTTTGATTCTTGCTGTAAAATAATCTGATGGGCTTCTTTTCTCTCTGTTAGATTATATCTACTGTTCTTTGGCCCCGTGAAGCACATTTATCTAACAAGCTTAAATATTCACTCCTATACAGCCTGCTGTAAGAAGTTGATGCCTTGTGCGAGGCAGTGGCTTTCACACAGGCACTCAGGGATGCGTGGGGTCACTGAAGCCTCCTGTCCCATTGTCCTTCATTATCCTGTTGGATGGTAAAGATGGTGAAGACAGTAGTCATTTGGGTTTTTTCAGACAACTGTTGAGTGAGTAACTAGTTTAGCATCGTGAAGGATAATTCCCCTTTTCTGAGTTGTAGGTTCTTAAGTTTTAAAACTTTTTCATCATCGTTTTTGTTTTGTTTTGTAATTTTTTTGGATTTAGAATCAAAGGGAAAAATCTTGTTTTTGCAAAATGTGTACAGCTTCTTGGTTTTCAATGTGAGCTCAGAACCATGTTGGCTTGGCTGAATGGTAGAAATGAGATGTCTGTCTGAGCTACTGAAATGGAGGTCTGAACTTGGAATTCTTCCCTGTAAGGCAAGTAACAGCCACAGCTGCTGACAGCAGGGACCTCATTCACAATTCAGTAGAAACAGAGGTGTGTGTGTGTGTGTGTGTGTGTGTGTGTGTGTGTGTGTGTGCGCGCGCACGCGCATGCAGTGGACAGAGACTGGGTGCTGAGCGTGTAGGATTCTGGGAAGAAAAACATACTTATAGGTCACACTAGCACATCTAAGCCCTTCCCCAACTGCTCTTTTGATGGTTCTAATTATTTATCCTTTGTTGCAGTGTTAGCAGCGTCCTGTGTGAACCTGACATTGATGGTTCTTCCTAACCTCGATGGCAAATGAACGAAAACATGATCAGTATTGGTTTATTTGCTATCTTAATTGGACCAGTTGATGTGAAGTTACTAGGAGAGATTATTTTCTCCAGGAAGCCTTGCTTTTCTGCATTGTATTAAGCTTTCATGAATGGAGCTGGTAACTTTTATTCCCTAAATGCAAAACATACAATGAAAACAATTGAACAAGGAATTATTCATATACTACTTCATATTTCATGCCTGACTTGAGTACTTAAGATTCCTGGTGTTTATGTTCAGCCTGGGCTTGTTGGCTCCCAGAATAGTTGACTGCCCCTGATACCATCACGTAGACCTTACCCGTTGTCCCTGTCAACAGTTACCAGACAGCATGCCATCTTAGCAGTGGCCGGAAATGTAAATCCTAGAAAATCCTTTTAAGAGCCGACATCGCTTTACGTGCTGCTTCCATTGCCAGGGGACACAGGCAAGCAGCTCAAAGGCAGGTTTTTACCATTCGCTCCTTCATTCTGCACCTTTTACTGAGTGTCTGTGTGTGCCAGGCATATCAATGAGCTCATCAGAGCTTCTTACTCTGGGGGGAGGGAGGGGGAGGGGACACAGCTGATGAACAGCAAACATGCTTTTGCCTTCTGAAGGTGAGGGATTTGCTGGGAAAATAGAAAAAGGAGATGAGGCAGCAGAGTGAAGATGCTTTCATTGTTCTTGTTTTTAAAGAAAGTTATCTGAGAGGACATCAAGGCAAGACTGGTAGGCAGTGGTAGCATCCACAGCCAAGCCACAGCGATGGGAACACGTGGGGGACAGCTTGAGGGGTGACTGAAGGCCCGAGTGGAGGTGAAGGCTTTTTCCCACTGACCGGAAGCCTCTCAGGTAGTCGTGCTGAGGCCTCTAGCTCCTTAGGTGTGGCTCAACCACAGAAGATCTTGTCATGCTCTCCTTCACCCCTAAAAGGGAAGGGATGCTTCTGGCATGTGAGGTCTGAGGCAAAGAGGGCTATTGAAGAAGTAGGGCCCACAGCAGAGAGTGTTCAGAAGTGTCGAGGTGGAGACAGCCTGTTCTGTTATTACTGAGCTCATCAGGTGTTGATTGATTTGGTTTGTCTTTGAAGACATAATGAGAAGAAGCGGTAAAATGTCACGGGTGAGGTTATTTACCTGAGCACCTGGTTAGCACACCTTGGCCATCCACACCAAAGCCAGTGCTGGCTCCCTCACCATGAGGAAGGCACTCTCAATCTCATTTGCTCCCAGTCTAAGAAAAATGTGCTGCACCATTCGCAAGGAAACAGTGGCGGCTGCGCTGAGGATGGAGTTACTGCAGCCCTGGGAGGGTTTTCTGATTCTCAGGAGGCCCAGGAACGGGCCCACACAAGGCAAAGCACCTTTGTAAAAAGAAAATGAATTTTCAGTGCTTGAAATAGGAGGTGCTATTCTTTTAGGCATGAATGTGGCATTATTAGTAAATTATTTTCCTTGGATTGCATCAATTCAGAAATCAGCTGCTTGTATGCCATTTTTTATTATGTCTACTTTATCAGTGTATGGTGTGTAGTTTTCTTTATATCAAATGCATTTGAAAGCATTTTGAGGAATTTGTTTTGGTGGCAATAACTGAAATTTAACAGAAGTATGCAATATAATGGAAATAAAATAATATCATTAAATCCTAGATAGATGCTGTTGCTTACAAATTTTTTTTTTGAGACAGTCTCACTCCCTAGTTCTGGCTATCCTGGACACTACGTAGACCAGGCTGGCCTTGAACCCACAGAGATCTGCTTGCCTCTGCCTCCCAAGTGCTGGGATAAAAGCCACCTTGCCTGCAAGAAATACTTAACAGCAGCATACTTTGTATTAATAGGAAGATTTACCTAGGAATAGTGGTGACACTCACCTCTATTCCCAGAACTCAGGAGGATCAGGAGCTCAAGGTCAACCATGGCTATATAGTGAGTCCAAGGCCAGCCTCAGCTATATGAGACCCTGTCTCAAAACAAAATAGAGTAAATGACAGATAACTAGTCTTAGGGGAATGTTAGAGACACATTAACATCAAAAGAGTATTTTCTTTAATTTCGTTAGGGAATTAAGAAGGAAATAACTTCCCCCTCATGTGATTTAATAACATTTAATGTGTTTTCCACATGTTGTGAATGGGGAGATGCTGTGTGTGCTTGGAGGCACTGACAGGCTGTGTTGGCAACAGGCTATGATCTGCCCTGCAGGGTGAGTGCTGAGCCCACTTGTGGCATCCCAGACGACGCTTCTCTTTGGCTATATTTGACCACCAGCCTTGAACCGGTGCCGGGCTGTCCCAGGGGCGTGGCTGTGAGCCTGACCCTGCTCTGTAGAGGGCTGAGATTTTTAAGTCCTGTTCTGAACATAGACAAAACTCCCTATAATTCAGATTTGCTGCTATTTCAAGTCAATTTTCTTAACTTTTAAAACTTCTGCCTTCTCTTCTTTACATACCTAATGTGAATTACCAAAATTTCATTCTACTGTGGCCATTGTTAGGCTGACTGACACTTGACAAATTAATGCGCATGATTTTGAATGTGGGCATTGGTTTCACTTAGCCGCGGTGTGGTAGTTCTGACCTGCTTTCTGTCTCTGTTTGGCCAACAGAAGCTCGTTAATTAGAGTCTGTGCTTTCTGCAGGGTAGCTCCAGGTGGTGCACCTCCCTTGGTTTTCTAAGGCGAGATTCTCGCCTTCTTGGAGGCTGCCTGGCCGGCCGTCTGAGCGCTGCTAATCAAAGCCTCAGGGGACTGATTTCTATGGAAGCAAGCAGCCCTGTTGCAGGCACTGTATGGCAGGCCCAGGGTGTGAAGGTCTAGCTGTGGAGACAGAGCAGGCGGCATGGCAGGGCTGCTCTGCTGTGGGGGTGAGGTGCTAACTCCAGAGTGGAGAGGCTCCTTTGAACCCCTGGGTGGCTTTGAATTAGCACTGCCCACATAGGTGGGGTGCAGATTCCACAGCACAGGTGCTCATTTTCACTTCAAACCATCACGTGCGTTTTAAAGTAATGAAGGCATAAAGAGGAAACTGGGTTGTCTTTACCATTTCTAGTGGGCTTTGTTCCTTTTGAAGACAAAGGTTTCTAAATGGTGTCACTCGCTCCAGCCTGCTGTTTCTGCCAGCATTTATTGTTGTCTGCATGTTAAAAAACGATGTGTTAGAAACACATTCTTTCTTTTCTTGTTGTTAAATCTGGCAGTGTCTTCATGTCATCTCCTTCCTGGAGGCGGTCCCACTGACCTCCAAGCTCTGATTGACAGCTCTCTCTCAACCCTGGGCCCATGAAGCCTCTCTTCCTCCACCACCTGTGCGGATAGTGCAGCCGGTCCTCACTCCCTGCTTCTTCCAAAATGGCCGTTTTGGTTTTGGTGACCAGGGGCGACAATGTGTAGACTGATTTTTGTGTTTGCCATCTTGGGGTTCACTTTGAGCTCAAGGCTCTCTCGGCTCTTAGGACGTTCAGAGAATTTTGTCATCTCTAGTGAGTTTTAGAATTTCAAATGCTGTTTTCAATTCTAGGATTACTATTTGGTGCCTTTTGAATGGAGAGGAATATTCTTGTGTGTGTGCCTGCACACTGTGTTTGTGTATGAGGGTATGTATTTGCCATGTCACGTGGGAGGGTCCCCCTTGTTTGCCACTGCACTGCGTACTCAGGGCTAACCGGTCTGCACACTTCTGGGGGAGTCTCATGTTTGTTTCCCACAGGAGTGAAGGGATCACAGACAAGCCACCACGTCCAGCCACATGGCTTTGTGATGACATGGACCATCCTGCTTGCAGTGCTACTGATTTTACTGCTGAACCATCTTTTTTCCAAAGAACACTTCTTGTTTGAGAGTCCTTTCCTTTTCACAAATTATTGACATCTCCATGTTGTAAGTTTAAGAGTTTCTTTAAAATCCTTCTTAATTCCAACTTTTGGGTCCTCTTGGTCCGTTCAGAGTCTGGCTCATGTTTTCCTATTTTCTCTGTACATTGAGGGTGCTTGTGTATTGTAGACCTCTGGACTCTGAGGGTTGTTTATCTTTGTCTTAAGGAACACACAAGTAAACCAGCAGGGCTGAAATGTGAGACCATCCCGTCTTTCCACCCAGCCTCGAACCTTCCTGTGCTGTATGGGGTTTCCACACGGAGTCATGACTCAGTCATTCAGTCCAGGTATTGGGAGAGCTTAATGCCAAGGCTTCTCTCTGAATCCCTCCTTCTGGAAATCCTCCCTTCCCCTCTCCTCCCCTCTCTTCCACTTCCTCCTCCCCTCCCTCTCCCCCCTAATGTTGTAATTAGTCTTGAACTCTGGCCAGAGAAGCATGAACAGCACTAACAATATATTATCATCAGTGATTTAATAACTATTATTTTTCAAGGAAATTGTTGTGTTAGGAAGGACAAACTGAAGGCCCAGGAGTGACAACATTTACAGAGCAGACAGAGAAGGGTTTGGTAAATAAGATAGCTGCCATCTCTACTTAGTGGGCAGATTCTGAGAGAGATGCCTCAGGAAGGAAGGGGCTCTTTTCCTGCAGTCGGGAAGCTTCTTGGACTTATCTGGGTAGATCAGTGGTCTTCTTACATCTTGTTAGGTAATAACTACCATTTGTCTTTTCCTGACTGGTCATTTGGGATAAGGGTGTTGAGGTCATCAAGAGCGAGATTCAGCCAAAGGAAGAGAAGGAGGAGGCGCGCGCGCCTGCGTGTGTGTGTGTGTGTGTGTGTGTGTGTGTGTGTGTGTGTGTGTGTGTAGAAACCACATAATTACTGGCCTGATACTATGGCACTCTGAAATAAGATGCCATGAAAACCCACTGAACTAATGTTTGCAGGCTCCACTCCCAGTGTCTGGTGGGAGAAACCTCTCAGTACTTGGAAATAAATCTGCATTTCCAGGGAACAGACTCCTGCTCTGCAGGAGTCTAGTGAGGCAATCATGGTTGCCTTTTTGAAGATTCTGGCCTGTAAAGCATTGATACTATCAACTCTGTCACAGTCCTAAACAAACCTATGAGACATTTCTGGATGTTGCTAGTGCTTTGGATGTTTTTAAAAGAAGTAGCTTTCCTACAGACGGTGATGGAACGGGGTACTGCTGTCTTTGTCACGCAGCAGGCCCTGACACACTGTACTTGGTGAACTGAGTTGTCCTGAATGTACACATACGACGGTAATGTTGTCTCTCTTGTGTGCTGTCAGTACGTTAAAGTATATGTGTAGCGAAGGCAGGTCCTGATGGATGCTGCAGGCCAGGCTCCCAGTTGGTGGGACCCCACGACAGTAAAGGGATTTCTGCATCCACTCATCGCTTCCATCTCCACATTTGTGTGTCCCGTCATCTGTCTTTGTCATTTAGCCCTCACCGCTGTAGTCATGGGAGTGGGCTCTGCTCCACTGGTTTCACGCAAGCAAGGAGAAGCTCAAAGCCAAGGTCACCCCTAATGAGGCTGTCAGAGTCCATATCCCTCTTGTTGATTGGCTATTATTCTTCTAATCAGTCCTTTCGGGGAGCGATCTGCGCCTGGATTATCACTGCGCCTTCTTCCCTTTGCTCGTGCCTCTCCGTAACGCCGACTTTGGCCTTGTTATTAATTACGCAGTTGTACTTCTCAGATTGACTATTCATCTTTTTTTTCCAGCCAGTATCTCTTTCCTTTTTCTCTAATCTCTTCTAGAATTCTATTGGACTTACCTTAGGCCTTAGCTTTCCATCTTTGGTGTCCTAACTGTCTTCGTTTCTCCATGCAGTGTTGTGGGTAATCTGTCAGATCAGTCTTCCAGCTCACTAACTCTCTCTCGAGCTGTGTCGAAGCTGCCACTTATTGAAGCTTTAGTTAGAGCCCCCATTTTTCATGTCTAAGATCCTTCCCAGACGCCCCTTGCCTGTTTTGCTTTCTTCCTTTCATGGTGACGTCTGCTTCGAAGACATTGCTGGTCCCAAGCAGGCTCCTCAGCCATCTGCTCAGGTCTGTGATGTTTGGTGCTGAGCTGCCGCAAGTCTTCCTGGCAGTGGCTTGCAGCCGTGTGCACGTCGAGAGATGGGTTAGCTGGCCCTCTTTGGGGTCGTTCTGCATTTTCCTACATCCTTTGCTTCTGCTGGCGGGCCTGGGATTTTGAGGACTCAGGACAGCCTTCCTCCTAGTAGCTCAGCTCAGCCTGTGGCAACCGTGTGCATAGACTGTGTTACGTGCTGTTGTCTGCCTCCCTGCCCCACAGCAGTTCCCTATTGGTGTCGTGGTTTCCTAGTTCCTGACCACCTGCTTTGTCTGCAGATGTCGCTCAGATGCTTCTCTGTCTCTGTGTCTCGTTCCATCTCTGACGAGCGCTCACTCCGTAGCTGGCCTGGAACTCACTATGCAGCCCAGGTTGGCAATCCTCCTGTGTCAGCCTTTCATGTTCTGGGGTTACTGGTGTGACCCACTGTGCCTCTGGGTGTCTGGTCTTTTTTTTGGTTTTTCAAGACAGGGTTTCTCTGTATTGTTTGGAGGCTGCCGTGGAACTCACTCTGTAGACCAGGCTGTCCTCGAACTCACAGAGATCCGCCTGCCTCTGCCTCCCGAGTGCTGGGATTGAAGGCGTGCGCCACCCCCTCCCGGCTTGGGTGTCTGGTCTTACGTGGTGGTCTGGGCATCAGTTTTGCCCACTGTGCTCACGTTGATGTCTAACTTCCTTCCTTCCTGGTCTTGGCCGAGTCCTTCCTCCCTCCCATCCTCCTGCTCCTCTCTCTCACAATATTCTATTGAAATTGCTATGGTGTGGGTGAAAGGGTGGGGGGATTCCATTTTCTCATCTTTGTTGTCATGTTGTTGGAAATCTTAGTAACAGGTCAAACCTGTGCTCCAAAGCCCCGGGGGTTGGAAGAACATGGCTGGTGTAGAATAGAGAGACTAGTCCCTGGCATATTCAGTCTGGTGACTTGCTGCTTTCCCACTTGATAGACTGTGTGGTAAGAACTCACTGGCTTTTCCACACCACTGGGGCAAATACATGAATGGCCAGGCAGCCTGTGTCTACACTCTTAAACATCTTTACGGTGGAATGAAGGGTTCCCTGGAGGCCACCCACCTCCCTCTGGTTTCCCAGCCACTGTGCTTTCTTTGGATCCAGCTGGATTTTGAGGGAGATGGCTGGGGTCACAAAATCACTTCATAAACACAGAATCAATCACAGGGGTCTCGTGTGCTGAGTTGTTTGAGCAGGACATAGTAGTGCTCAAATTTTGATAATTCTGGCCCTTGGGAGGAGGCAGGGGGATCTCAAGTTCAAGGCTAGCCTGGGCACCATATGGAATTCAGGTTATATATAGCAAGACCCTGTCCCAAAAAAACAAAGTTGTTTCCCTCACAGTAACTCAGCAATGCAACCTGGTGGGCCTTGTAGCCGGATAAAGCTTGGCTTGGCAGCAGCAACAAAACAAAAGGTGTGATGTCTTCTCTTTAGTGTTTGCTTGTTTTGTTTTGAAGCAAGGTCTCTCTCTGTGTAGTCTTCATCTCTGTTACTTGCCTGGGATTCATGGAGATCCACCTGCCACTGCCTCCAAAGTGCTGGCATTAAAGGCTCATATTAACTTTTTAAAGTCATTTTTATTGATGGCATACAATTTATGTTCAGTGAAATTTACCAGTGTTTAATTTGTTAGGGTGAGTCTTAATGTATAACCATTGGCTAGCGCTGCCTGCTTCTTCAGCCCCAAGGACCATTTACACCTTGGACTCATTTACTCCTTGTTTTGGATCAGTCACTACTTCCTTTTAAAGCCAATCACAGCCTTACCCCTAACACCAATCACTGCCATTGAGGCTTGTGTTTTGGACCAATCACAGCCTTGCCCCTTAACACCAATCACTGCCAATGAGGCTTGTGTTTTGGACCAATCACGGCCTTGCCTCTGTACCGGCCATCTCAGTCCCTGTGCTAGGCTAGAAAGTGGAAAGGACTTAGGTTCATCTGGACTTCCTTACAATAGCAAATTGTCAGAGGCTGTTTCAGTTATCCTGGCTTACTTTTCTCAGCAACTGTGGGGTGTTCATGGTGGCCGGCGTTGGTGTATGGGCGGCTTGGCTTCGATCGCAGCAGCCTGGCAGAGTCTTAACAGCTGCCTCATCCCAACAGCTTTGCCCCCTTCAGAGAAGGGAGTGTCAGGAGTGCTTCTACTTACAGAGCTCATTGTGAGTGCTGGCAGTGACTGTGGCAGGGTTATCAACGCTCTAGCAGTGCCAGTGGCCCAGGGAGAGGTGACTCTCCTTTATTTGTAACTAAACATACAGGCCTTTGTGTAAACAAACGTGTTTTCATTTCTCTTGGGCAAATACCTGGGAGTAGGGCTTAGAGGGTCACGTGGTAAATGCCTGTTAACTTTGTAAGGAGACTGCCAGGCTGTCTTAGGAGCGGTACCAGTTTGCCTTTCTGTCTCTGACGAATGAGAGAGAGGTCGCATTGCTGCAGACCTTCGCTAGTGTGTTGATACAGTCGGTTAAAAACATTGTCTTTCTAGTGGACGTGTAGCATGTTTTAATTACCAAGGATGATATTATCCAACATTTCCTATACTGGGCTGTCATTTTTTAAATGTATGACCTTTATGCAAATCTTTCATTAAATACCTGTTTTGCAATTTTTTTCTGTTTTATCTTTTTGAGTTCTGTGTCATGGTGTTCCACTTTCATCTTGTTTCTGGGTTGGGTGGTGCGAGGGGAAAATAAGGGCTCACTGTTTAGCCTAGGCTATGGAACTTGTATCCGGGGTTGTCCTCAGACTCATGCAGTCCCCCTGCCACAGGCTCCTGAGTGCTGGGACACAGGCCTGGGGCACCCGATCTGGCTGCTGCTCTCTCCTTCTGAGAGCACGCTGGTGGTGGGGGTGGGCTGAACTGGTCATTGTGTTATGGCACGTGCTCTTTCTCCTGCACTCTAAAATTTTACTGTTTCTTGCTTTGAATTTGATAGATTGTAAGTTAATTACATTGACGTACATAAGGACCAATGTTCGTTTTCTCCACATTTATTTACTTGTTTGTTTTGTTTGCTGAAAAGTTTGTCCTGGGTCACTGAGTTACCTTGGAACCTTTGTGAAAAACTGAACCGGCTTCGAGGTTTGCAGACAACTGTGTTTCTTCTTGCTGTCTGGTAAGAGGCATGTTTATTCTTAAGTCTGTCTCATAGTACATGGAT